TGTTTGTCTCTGAGTTAAAATTAAAATCCACCTATTGTATATATTATCAGTTCAGAAAGTATTAAATGGCTGCCATTGTCAATCAGTTAATAATCTTTGTTCACTCTCAGTGTGTTTCATAAACTCATGATATTTATGATATTCATGGTAAATTCATGATACTTAGGGAGCCTTTGCTGGTTTGTTGTTTCTTTTCTTCTTTTTTTTTAAAAAAAACATTATTCAGTAGTTTTATTGTTAGTAGCAATATTGACACCATAATTTTGAAACAACACTATACATGCTGGAAAACAGAGCAAATGAGTTAGTGTGTTAATGTTATTAGGAACCAAGCTTTTTTTTTTTTTAATTGTAAAATGTGTATAACAAAACATTTGCCATTTTCAACCATATTTATGTATACAATTCAGTGACTTTGATTACATTTAACGTGTTGTGCAACCATCACCACGATCCATTTCCGAATTTTTTTATCACTCTTACCAGATACTCAGTGCCCCTTAAGGTTTGTTGTTTCTTTAAGTATTTTGATGGTGGCTTTTTTTTTTTCCTTTTTCCTATTGTAGTACTTATTTTTTCTGGCCCATTTTCCCTGTCTCTTTCTGTTTGACCCTTTAAGAAATGAAGTGTAGGCATATTTTACAGTGTCTGGCATAATTTTGCAGCACCTTTTCGATGTTTCCTTTTTCTTTCTCTGTATCTGCATTTTTAAATGTGTGGTAGGTACAGGGACTCTAGGCATTTAATAGTGGGAAGGGTGAGCTGAAAACATCTATGTGACAACAGTTAGTTGGAGAGATGGGTTTTGTTACCTTTAGAGCAGGGAACAGGTTCCTCCAGTCGTTGGGGGTGTCTCCATGATCCATAACTCACGTGCTTGATAGTGCATATATAGCTTCTTTCAGCTGTAACTGTTCCAAGAGGGGTGTTTTTAAAAAACAGTCCTGCCTTTCCTTTTTGAAATTCAGAGTCCTAGATACCGAGCTTAGTTCAGGCTAATCTTGGTTGTACTTACATCTGATGGTTTTTTTGAAATCTCAACCCGTAAGATGTTTGCCATGCAAGTTGATTCCTACCTGGTTTCCTCTTCTCAACCTTCAGCATGTATTCTGATATGCATGTTGTGCTACTTGCTGTCTTCGTTTCTTTCCAGAGTAACCAACGGGTCGACCTTTATAAGTGGAAAGACGGCAGTGGGGAAGTTGGCACAACCTTACAAGGCCATACTCGCGTCATCAGGTAGGTACCAAACCTCCACAACTCCTTGGCCTGTCATTTATCATTCTGCCTCCAGATTGGAGAGAGTACTGCTGTCTTCACTGCTAGAGATCTCTGTTCAGTGATCTCCAAAGCTCATGGTATACACCATTAGTTTGTCCCAGTCTCCTGGGGGGCAAAATTAAGATGCCATCCACCCATGGCTTTAGTGTGATCCTCTGTGTTGCATTGGCCCTGGGTGGCTGTTAGGTCGTTGGCATTCACTGAGTGATGACTTTCACAGTGAAGGACAACCAGTATTTAGGAACCAGCATCTGTGTACCTATTAACCCGAGTCCCAGAAGATACTTAGATAAAACCCAATCCAGAGTAAAGGACTAGGGGTGATTTTTGCTGCAGGAGGGAGAGGAACTTATGCCAGCAGAATGCCTCTCTCCATAGTCAGTAGTGCCCAGGAGTACACGGTGACATCAGAGAGCACACCTTCACTCTTTCTCTGGTAACTGTGGGTTGGCACATAGAGCTCACGCATCACTGTTGTTATCCAAATGCAGACTCACCTCCCACTTGTGGTCTTCTAGGTGGCTTCCGGAGTGTTCCTTGATCCACTCTTTCCTTAGTTCACAGTTTCTGGGTAGGGAGAACTTATTCTGAGGAGGAGAAGTAGGGAGTACAGGGGTAGTGAAGCTGACCTGGCAAGAGATGGGAAATGTTGGACACCCTGGTTTGTGCTAAATGTTCTACGTAGTAACTGCGTTTTTAGCAATGAGGGTAAGAGTAGGGAGGACCAGAGGTTTGCTTGCCGTCTGTCTTAGCCTGGGTTCTCTAGAGAAGCAAAACCAGTAAAGCGTATGAATATGTATATATA